TTGCCAGGACGGTGTACACATTCGAAGTCATACTCTTGAAGGTACTCCTGCCATCTTGCTGTCTGTCCTTCAGGGTCTTTGAAATTTTGCAACCACTGAAGAGCTTTGTGATCCGTTCGCAAAACAAACGGTTTACCAAGTAGATAGGGTCGGTACTTACGAACGAAGGTAACAGCGGCCAACATCTCTTTACGGGTGATGCAGTAGTTCTTCTCTGCACGGCTCAGCGTGCGGCTGCCATATTCGATAACATGTTCTTTGCCGTCCCCACCGACCTGAGATAACACGGCTCCGATGGATGTGTGACTAGCGTCCGTGTCCAAGATGTATTTACCAGCCGTTGGTGATGTATCTGGGAATGCTAAAATGGGCGCCGAGCATAATGAATCTTTCAACTGTTGGAAAGCACGGTCACAATCCTCTGTCCATACGAAGGGAATATTTTTCTTAGTCAAACTCGTTAGGGGGCTAGCGATCTCTGAGTAATTTCTCACGAACCGGCGGTAATAAGAGGCCAACCCTAGAAAACTGTGTAACTCATTCACGGATTTAGGTACGGGCCACTCTTTGACTGCTGCAACTTTTTCAGGATCGCTATGAACGCCCTGTGCACTGACAACATGCCCCAAGAAAGTGACTTCGGTTCGGAATAAACGGCATTTAGTGGGTTGAACTTTGAGTCCCACCTCCTTCAAACGTTCCAAGACAATCCGCAGTCGCTCAAGGTGTTCTTCGATGGTGTGACTGAAAACGATAATATCATCTAAATATACGAGGCACACCTGTGGGACTAATCCTTTGAGTACTGTGTGCATCAGTCGTTGAAACGTGGCTGGTGCATTACTTAACCCGAACGGCATGGTCTGGAATTCATATAACCCGGTGGGTATAGTAAAAGCGGTTTTGTGCCGATCACGAGGGTGGACTTCCACTTGCCAATATCCAGAAGCTAAATCAAGGGTGGAAAACCAGACGGCACCTGATAATGCTTCTAACGTCTCATCTATTCTAGGCAATGGGTAAGCATCTCTCCGGGTCACTGCGTTTAATTTTCTGTAATCAACACACAAGCGCAGGGTGCCGTTTTTCTTCTTAACTAACACTATAGGCGACGCCCACGGTGAGTTCGACGGCGCAATTATTTTTTTCTGTAACATTTCATCATCATTTCATTAACTTGGGGTTTATTGTTGGAGGACGATGAAAGTGTATTCGACGTCATCAATGCTATTCTGAACGCTGCGACCATTGCTTGAATCATATCTGGCGCAGGCGTGCACGTCGACGTTGTCGGTGAGGTTGAGGACATTACTGGTGGCGCTCTGTTACCATTTTCCGAGTCGCAGGCGTTGGCATTAGCAGGAGATTCAGAGTTGTTCACTTCGCGCTTTTGTTTACGCGAGTTGGGCAGGCTCGCCATGTTCTATAATAGAACAACACAGACAGTATCAGATATCAAGCACACGGGGTGAGATGAGAAGCAGAACGCGACAGGGAAGTTCAAAAGATGTATATATTTACAACAAAGAGCTAGGCCTTCAGTATTCAGCAGCCACCAGTTTTTGAATTTGCGCCTCCTCTTGAGTTCGAATTACTACAGTTGTAATGATTTTAAAAATGTGCGATTATATGTAATACGATTAGAACACATTATTGATAAATTAAAACAAAATTAAAAGAGCAAGCCAAAGCAATTTTGCAAAATGTTGTAAGGTGGAATTTTTGGTAGCCCTATATTCAAGCAGGCCGCCGAAGTAGCAATGCTTTCCTTATTTCTTTGATTTCATTATTTAAATCTCCTGACCTGCTATTTAAGCTTCTGTCTCGATCGCTCAAACATTCGACTGAATCTACTTTTACCGATTTTAGGTGGGATAATTCAAAGTTTCAGTATCTTTAAGAATATGACAATCTGCTGAAGTTTCTAGTCTCTATCGCGCAATCTTTTTCTCGTTTTGTTTTACAGTCTAGCGTGACCAACTCACACAGCTCATGTTCGAACTGGAAAGTGAACTGAATCCTGCCTACTAATGAGTTTGTATGTGTCATGAACCCGAGAATATATTAAGATCTCAAAAGAGTGAATGTGTAACCCACCTATCCGCATCATAAAGCGTGGGCAAGATTAAAAGTTTTTAGAAATTCGCGTTTCCAGCTGCCCATAAATATGTCCTCTACTATTGGGGATACTGCCACTCCATTTGTTTGTTTGAGTTCTTAACTTTGAAATCTGAACCCCGTAGAGATTGAACATAACTGAACACCTAATCGTATTTCTTAAAACGATAGATTAATCCTATTTGTTAGTTTAAAGTAAATATCTAGTTCATTCCTAACTGCTTTCAGATATGTGTAGAAACTTATCACTTCAAAAATAATCATTTTTTCTTCCTTTTCTATTTTCGAAATTCATTCAGTTATGACTACTGTATCACTATGTTTTATATGAAATAAACTTATCCAGAATGAAATTAGATCTTCAAAAGCCTAATATATGAAAATTATTATCAACATATTATAAAACAAGAATTAAACATTAGATATAAATCGTTGATTCAACATAACTGAACGATAATATTTCAGCCGTTATGCAGTCTGAATAGAATGTTTATAACTATATGATTTTTGTTGATCCATACAAAAAAGTAATCATCATTGTCACCTGATCATGACACTTAATGCAGTCAAGTTTGTATTGTTTATTATAAGATAATAATTGTAGCAAATTCAAGATTGTTATTTTGATAAGTTCAACTAACTAATGTAGTTCACTATGTATTGTATTGTGAAATTGTAGTCATGATTTATTTAGTTTAGACCAACTTTTGTAAGATGAAATAGTAACAGTTTAATAGTTCTGTTACATTAGAGAACAGTATATCAAAATACTGCTTACTGAATGCATACATTAACTGGTCACTAAACAGTAATCAGTGTCAGGAGTCTAGTCTTCGGTATTGGTGCAAACAGAATTCTATGCCAGTCGAATTCTCAATCAAGAAAAAATCCCCATTTAGACATTTAGAAATCAGAAAGATTGAGCGAAGAAATATTTAATTTTCGATTAGAGCCAAAGATGAGGATCTAATCGAAAAGTAAATATTTCTTCGCTCAATCTTTCTGAATTCTCAATCATCCAAAAGGCGAGATCAGTATCTTCGAAATTACAGATACGCGTTACTGATGAGTGCCGATAAGCAGGGTACTCAGATCCAGGGTTTCCTACTTACTGCCTCCAACAGCCTAACATCGATCACTGAGTTTGCATTTTACCAAGTGATGGGAGTTTGTTGGCTGTTGGATGCTTCGCTTTATTTCGATTTTATGCTGGATGGGATTTACTAGGAAGAAATTCACTTCATATCTGAACGGTTATGAACTAGATGGAAAAGAACTCCCGACATCGGTACACGATGATGTTTGACTGATCACTGAAATACACCTTTTACTGCCTAACTTTAACAGTAATCAGATGTTATGCTGTTAGCCTATTCACTCCTTTACTGTCTTATCTGTAAGGGTGAGATATTTTTATGAGAAATGTGTCTCATAAATGCATCACAGATGTTTGAATTCATCTAGTTTAACAATACAAACTTATTCAGTTTATTTTGGTAATTATCTGTGGCATTTTATTTTTAACGATATCATTTAATAAGGTTAAAAATATAATGTTCGGTTACAACGGAACAAAATGATTTTCAAGTTTTGGTTTGCAGAATCTGGATTGATTTCAAGTAATTTTTTATTACAGCTTGATTCCACACTGTATTTTGGGTACAAGTAAGAAGTTTTCAGCATGTGATATCGGTAACCCGAATTTCGCAGGCCTACCATAGATATCAGGTATGCATCGGCAGGCGATCGAACCCCGGACCATGTGGATGGTTGGCAAGCATGCTAACCGCTGTGCCACCGACGCATACAAGTAAGAACATAGACTGATGCCAGTTTTATAGCCATTTGCGTGTTTCCTCTTAGTTTTGGACTCCTCACCAGCACGAATCCATTACTCACCGAGAATCTGATTCATCAACGAGCCAGCTCACTAAACATTCAGTCATTGAAATGGGATCCAATCACCCATGAATCCTGAATTCTATCAGCTTGCGATAAATAACGTCACCGCTAGCCAGTGTCGTTGGTGGGTGACCCTGAGTGTATCTAAACCTTTTTATTCAAACAATCTTTATCATTGCATAATCATTCTGATTTAATTCTCTGTACTTCTTTTATGCATTATATTGAGGTGTAATAACTTTGTAATGAGGTATTTCCATGCTACTTAGTACAGTAGTTAATCATTCAATTAATACTACTTAATAAATAAAGGATTAAATTTTGATACGCTTTTGTAATTTAGGAATACTAACAGGCTTTTCAGTGTCAAAGATCCCGTTTGCTATTTCTGTTGACTTTTCCATTTTCTCATTGTTATACTTCAATTTCATAACTCTGTGTCATCGTGTAACAATCAATCTTCAGGTTTCTAGAGGTACAGTAAGTAAACAGCAAGTGGTTGTTTCTATGACTGCCTGTTCTGTATTTTGACACCTAACAATTGGTAATTTGGTTATACCTAGTTGGGCTATTCCTGCCTACAAGCAAGAGTTTCTGTCTCTCTACCTGCAATATATATATATATATATATATATATATATATATATTACTGAGAAATTTGTCAGGAACAATAATCAGCCACACAAGACAGATGTCTCTCAGTTATTGTGAGCAATAGTGACATGTAAATTCTACCAAGTAGTGTTTATATTATTTTGACCTGGCTAGAACATACTACCGTTCAGTGTCACTAATTTCCAGTTATTCATACCACTCAGAAGTATATACTATCCTGCTGAAATTCCAGTTTAATTCATCTATGCTAAAGTAAACATTATGTGTTTACTTGAAAATACTTCTCATTCATCTGTTTGTTTCAAATTCTCCGAAAATGTTTTTCACAATCAATGTAACATTTTATTCACATTGTCATATTCAAGGACTGAATGGTTTTGGTGGTTTTGGAAAGGTGATTCAAAATCGATGCCAGAAATCTCTGACTACATGAAAAGATATCACGATCCAGATTTTGCGTATGCTGATTTCGCCAAACAATTTCATGCTGAATTCTTTCAGCCAAATGAATGGGCTGATTTGTTCAATAAATCTGGAGCACGTTATGTTGTGTTAACAGCTAAACACCATGAGGGCTTTTGTAATTGGCCATCAAAAAATTCATGGCAATGGAATTCAATGGATGTTGGTCCAAGACGTGATCTAGTCGGTGAGTTAGCTGAAGCTGTTCGTAAAAGAACAAGTCTACGTTTTGGTGTATACCATTCATTGTTTGAATGGTTCAATCCTTTATATATCAGTGATAGAGAAAATAATTTTACAAAACAGGTGAGTAGAAATATCTGTTAAGGTTATTTCAATTTCCCCTGTTGACTGGCTTTTATTGGACCTAGGAACTTGTCTTGTGTTGACATGCTGGCAACTAGCGTCGATGTTTAGATAATGCCCTGAAATAATCACAGTGTTGTCTGATCGAGTGATATTTTTAGCATTCGAAATAAGTGCTGAGTTACAATCTCAGTCGCAACACACAATATTTTTTTCATTCTGAATGAAACACAGGACTTCAAGCTTTGTAGTCTCAGTAGCATTTGTGTTGTTTCTACTGAGTGAATATGCTGGTCTAACACCAAAATTACCTTCTCTCACTGGTCTGCTACCGGATAGGCGAGGTTTAGCAGTGAATCTACCGGAAATTGATCCCCGAGCACGTGAGTGGTCGGTGAACGTTAGGCTCCGGAACCTTACATTGATTTCACAATTTACTCACAGTAATACAGTCCTCGACAGTTTCCTGATGGATTCGTCTCACTTTCTTCTGGCATTTCTTCTTTACTGGCTTTTCAGCTGACACAGACATCATCACTGCTTTTCGAAGATGCTAGTCAAAATATATTACTGATATTTGTTCTCAAGTGGCTCCAGTGTTAGTTATAGATGATTTCATAAAATTGTCAGTTCGTTCGTGGGCAGACATTTTTCTTTAAACTTCGTCAGACTATGTGAAAGTTGAATTAGGATTCGCTTTAATATGTCATAGAATAGTTCAGAATGATTTTGCACTGTCAGTTGAAAATCTCGCTGAGTTTATGCAGAAGCCCTAGAAGTGAGACTACATTCACAAGACAATCGAGAAGGTAGTGTGTGTGAAAGGTTGGAGTGAGATGAAGATAACTTTCTGCAGTCACAGTTTAAGGTATTTACAATGTCGCTATATTACATGCTATATTCTGTGTCATCCCTGAAATACAAATGAGCAACATTTCAATGAAAAAAAGGGGAGTAAAACCGTTTTTACAAGTCATTGTCTATTGAAACCAAAGCAAATAAAATTAGCGTGACAATATCGTTTGCTTGATAGTTTAGGCTATTATATTCTCAGATTGTTGGATAACCTCCATGGGAGAAGCCTAATGGATTATTCTTCTTTCTAATATTTCTAATAATGAAAAATACCTATTGCACTCTTAGTGGATCCATCGAAACCTCTTTGCGGACATGTGGAACTGTTTCCTCAGACTCGACTCGAATAAACTCATAAATTATACTCCTAACTCCTTAGGAATATATGAACACTACCACACATATGGTAGTGATCAGATACTGAATCTTATTCCTTGGATTGTTGAAGAACATTAGGCACCTGTGCGACTATTAAGATAGATGCCAAGTTATTTCTGAATATTTTTTATGTAGTCTTTTACCAATATAAACGTCTTGTTTGCTTAAAAATAAGGTGAAGAGTTCAGCTATAGGGCTTGCAGTACTTAACATATCAGTAACTAACTTTCCTTCTTTTTATTGTGGAAATAAAACTCAGCTATAAGTGGATAGTACTGTGGTCTTAAAGTCAATTTTTAGTTAACATAATTAGGTTCTTTTTTTATGGGTTCTCCCTTTACTACCTATTCTTTTTTATTATTTTTCTCACTTATAATTAGTGTAACGCTTAAGAAATTTCGATAAGCGACTCGCTGACTGAGAAACTCAAGCCTTTTTTCTTCACTTTAAGCATCCTTGGTTCGTTTCTCAGAACTAGTATCTTGACTTTTTTATCACTGCACATCAGGTTCAGGGAAGTGCTAGGTGGATTTCAGTAGCTCATGACTTCCAACTGTTATCATATGCAGCGTAGTACATCCGAGTGGTAACCACCTACTATTTAAAGCCTTACTGGTGGACAGTGTGTCTCTATCGTTGTTAGATAAATTTACATGATATTACATGACACACGCACACACACAGAGATCCATTATTCCAATTCACATCCCTAGATTTTTTTGATTTTCAATTTTGGATGACTAATTGGGCATCTAACGCTGGCATGGTGGAGGTCGTCTGAAAAGTAAATTAAAGCTCATGAATTATTGTACAGTCAGCTAAAAAAGACTGTAGAAAATAGATTGAGACGGCAATGTAATTTTGAAGCCCTAAGTTCTACTAAGAACCAAAGAGACGAAAAGTATGGTATAAAATAAGCCGTAATTTTATATTAGCTTACATTGTGCACCTACTTACCGGCTGACAATATTTTCATAGTTATAGAATCGACTGACGTCAAGTTAAATTTTAACACTGTTCTGGAAAGTATGTTGAAAATACTAAATATGCTAACCTAGTCCGTTATCAAAAGAAAGTAAACCAAACAAAACTACCAGTAATCAAGTGAAGCAACGAAAAACAAAATCTCACAGCATATTAATTCGTAATACCCTTTTCTTTGTGTGAACAGGTTAAGACAAAAAACATTCGAGTTTCAGTGACACAGCTTAAGCTGTATGCGTGTATGTGATTAATATTCACATGGAATAAGTAAATAAGTAATAAGTAATAGATGTCTACCAGCAGCTTGAGACAACAGGCATTATTCATTTCTACCATTTATGTAGACCACTAAATAAGTTAATCTTCGTATGTCAATGTAATTCTAAACTAACAGCTATTGATTGATAATTTATTGATTTATATTTATATAAATAACTTAGTTACAATTTGTCAATGGTAAATGGTAGTAGGCATGCATTCAAATTAAAAGTATGCCAGATGGAAAAACATGTTAAAGATTAGACAAGAACTGATGAGAAACTTTTCAAATGGTTCTTTAAATATAGAATTTAGACAGAGGCCAGCTTACTGTTAGTAAAAAGATGCATTTGAACATAAAATGATAGGGCAAACATAATAATCAAAGAGTAATTGTTACTGTCAAAGTTAATGTGTTAAGAATAATAGAATTTCAGTTATGGTCAAGGTAAGGAAATTCGTTGTACGAACGTCGAATACACAGGTTCGGCCTCTTTAGGTGGATTTCTCTGGCTACAGTTATATGTAAAAGACGAACTCGTAAAGAGGAATTAAGATCAGTTAGAATATCTCAGATAACTTTAAATACCATGTTAACATTCACTTTATGTTCACCATCTATAAGGGGAGTTAAAACAGAGGTTCGAGTACACTTTGTATGTCCTTTGCTTAACCACGGTCGATAATGTTCAGAAATTTGAGTAGAACATGCCTAACTCTAGGCTCCATGTGGCTAGAGGAGTGGTCAAGATGTTAGATACACATATTATTATTATATTATTGTATCCTTTAGTTCCTAGAGGAACATAGGACTTCAGCTGCGCACCTCCATTGCCTTCTGTTTTCTGACAACTTTTTCACCCCGCTCCAGGTCTGTCCACATGTCTTCATCTCCTCCTCGCATGACCTCCTCCAAGTCACCCTTGCACTGACGACCAACTCGCCGCCTCCCTTCCGGGTTCCACTCGAGCGATGGCTTGTCTAGTGATGTCACTTGATGGTTTCCTCAGAGTATGGCCAGCCAATCCATCTCCATTTCTTCTTGCCTATTTGTTTCACAATCGGTTCCTGTTGGTAGTTTGCTCATTGCCAGAGATCCCTGTTGGTGATCTTTTCTGGCCGGCCATCTGATCTTGAGTATTGAGCGAAGACAGCTGTTAATGAAGGTCTGAAGTTTGTTTGAGGTGCTATTTATGACGCCTGGCCAAGTCTCTGATCCGTACAGTGAGTAGCACTGACTTTACATTTGAGTTGAAAATCCGGATGTTATTTTTGATGCTGAGTGGTGTTGACCTCCACACAGATTTGAGAGTAATAAAAGCTTGTCTTGCTTTTCCGATTCTGGCTTTGATATCCTCGTCAGTTCCGTCCGCCTGTAGTTGAGACGATGCTTCCCAGGTAGGTAGGTGAAGGAGGTTGTTTCTTTCAGGTTCCTTCCATTTATGCTGATCATTGTCTGTTGTTGTTGTTGCTGTTGATGTTGGTGTTAGCGAGGAATCTTGATCACCTCTGTTTTCTCCATGTTCACCTGGAAGTCCTATCTTGGATGAAGCATCTGCCAACTTGTTTCTTTTCACTTGCATATCTTCCAGTTTGTGGGAAATCAGACATATATCATCGGCGAAGTCCAGATCCTCCAAGTATTTTGTGTGAGTCCATTTTATTCTTGTTTCCTCGTTGGTTTCCGCTGTCTGTCGCATTATCCAATCTACTGCAATCAGAAAGATCATTGGCTGTCGCACTCCCGTCCTCACTTCGAAGGCTTCCGTAAGTTTTCCGTTGTGGATTACTTTGAATGCAGCATTGTCGTATAAGTGTTGGATGAGATGTAAAATGGTCGATGGCACTCAGTAGTAGCGAAGTAGTTGCCAAATCACCTCTTGATCGACGCTGTCGAAGGCCTTTTCAAAGTCGATGAAGTTGAGATAGAGAGGTGGCTGCCATTCTAAGCTTTGTTCAATGATGATCAGTAGTGTGGCGATTTGATCAATACATGATTTGTTTCTCCTGAATCCAGCCTGTTCCCGTCGAAGTTTTTCATCTAGAGCTTGTTTGATTCTCTCCAGGATGATGCGGCTTAGTATTTTGCTTGGAATGGACAGAAGCATAATTCCACGCCAGTTTTTGCATTGACTTAAGTCTCCTTTCTTTGGTAGTTTGAATAAGTATCCTTTCTTCCAATCCTCGGGTACTTTGCCCTCTTTCCACACCTTCTCCAGCAGTGGCGTCATCAAGTCCGCTGTTGTCTCTGGGTCTATTTTCAAAGCTTCTGCTGGGATTCCATCTGGTCCTGGTGCTTTCCCAGCTTTAAGCATCTTGATTGCATTCAGGACTTCTGATTTTGTCGGGGGGTCAATGTTCACTGGTAGTTCTGCTTCCGTTGTTGGTATTGTTGGGCGTGTTTTAGGTAGTGGTCGATTTAGAAGTCTTTTGAAGTGTTCACCCCAGTGCTTTCTTTGTTCCACTTCTTTGGTGATTGACTTTCCATTGTTGTCCTTTATTGGCTTAATCTGTGTCGAACGTTTGCCCGAAAGGTTCCTAGTTGTTTGGTAGAGTGTGGCGAGGTCTCCTTTGCTGCCTGCAGCTTGTTCTGCTTCCCTTGCCATGGTTTCATAATATTTTCTTTTGTCTTCCCTGGCACTCTTCTTCACTCTTTTGTTCAGTGTATTGTAGCTTGCATTCAGCTTCTGTTGTTTTGCTCGTCAGTGCACTGGATAATCTTTTGTTTCACTGTCCTTCTCTCTTCTATTAGTTTCCAAGTGTCCGTAGTGAGCCACTGTTTGTCCTGTCTCTTTTTTCTGCCTAGAACGTCGATGCAGGTTTGACTCCACACCGTTTTCAAGTTGTTCCAGTGCTTTTCAACGCCGACCTTTTCGCTGGTGTTGATTTGTGTCTCAGCTTTTTCCCTTATGTTTGCAATGAAGATGTCCTTTGTGGCCTGGTCCTTCAGCTTTTGAGTGTTGAACTTGGCATGTGGTCTATCTGCAGCTCCTGTTTCCCTGAAAGCTTTTAATTTGATTTGGATTGTCCCTTGTACGAGATAGTGGTCTGAGCCAACGTCTTCTCCTCTTCTTGTTTTTGTGTCCAGTAGGCTGCGCCTCCACTTCCTTGAGATTGAGATGAAGTCAATTTGGTTTTTGGTTTGCCCGTCTGGTGACACCCATGTAGCCTTGTGGATATCTTTGTGTTTGTATACACTGCCACCAATCACTAGTTCGTTGAAGGCGCAGAAGTCGGCGAAGAGTTCTCCATTTTCATTCATTTCTCCGAGAGCTTCTCTACCCATGATGAGTTCCCTTCCTGTGTTGTCTGGTCCCAGTTTGGCGTTCATGTCTTCCATTAGTATTTTAATATCACCAGCTGGAGTATTGTCCATTGTTGCCTGTAGTTGTCTGTAGAATTCTTCTTCCTTTTCGAGGTCTGCGTTGTTTGTGGGTGCATAACATTGTATGTTTGACACTTTCCTTTCTTTTGAGTTGAATCTGGCGGTCATTATCCTGGACGAGATCGCCTCCCATTGCATCAGGGCTTTCATTGCCGTTGGTGACATCATGATAGCCACGCCCTCGGTGTGCGTGTGGTTATCTTCTGGGTGACCGGAGTAGATCACTGACTCACCCGTTGACAATTTGGTGAGTCCACTCCCATTCCATCTTCTTTCACATATTCCCAGCACTTGGATTCCGTATCTTTTCATCTCGTTTGCGATCTGGGCAGCTTTCCCTGTCTCGTACATAGTGCGGACGTTCCATGTCCCCACACAGACTTTTTCTTTTGGTGCAAAGAGGTTCCTTGTGCTGATACACATAAAGAAGGAGAAATTACGTAATTTCACCATAACTCCCAAATGTGAAATCGGAGTAACTCTGCTGTACTGCATACTATTTATACTGCATTTTTTAAGCAGTGTGTTATTATTTAGCTAGTTTTAATAGGAAGATCTTCTTTGGAGCTGCTGATATACCAGATTACATTGACAGTTTCCTTTCCCCTAAGTCATCTTCGATTTACTATTGTTTTGACCATCAATGTTGCATTATTTTTCTCTGAATGCTTTCTGATGTTCAAGTTTCATTCTAATCCTATATCCAGTGACGAAGGTAGTGTACTGGTTTGCATAACGCGAATCCCAGCTATTTCAACCAGTGGGGTTTCACAGCTTCACTGACAGACTTCCCCTGCTTACTCCTACGCAACTAAATCACAGCATACTTAACTGTCATTTGGTATAAATATTGGACTTCGTCGCTTGAGAAGACTGTTTGTTTTTCCTTTTTTTTTCACCCGAGGATTTGTATCCTTATGCAACATTTATTTCATGAATTTTTCTATCTTAATTTTTAAAAGACATTTGTTGAGCAGAAAACGATGCCTGAATTATACGATTTAGTGCTACGTTATAAACCGGATGTAATTTGGTCGGATGGTGATGTCGGTCCAGACACTTATTGGAACTCAACACAATTTCTTGCTTGGCTTTACAATGAGTCCCCAGTGAAAGATACTGTTGTTACTAATGATCGTTGGGGTAATGGATGCTCGTGTAAACATGGGGGTTATTATTCATGCGAAGATCATTATCGTCCAGGAAGATTAGTTAATCATAAATGGGAAAACTGTATGACACTAGATTGTTGTTCATGGGGTTTTAGAAGAGACATTACACTGAGCAGTATATTAACACCAGAGGTAAGCGTTTTCATAAGGCTTTAACTATTTTTGTCATAATCAACAGATATTTATCAATTGGTTATAACAATTGCAATTTATTGTCATCTGGTTGTTCTATAAAAGAGTACCTTGTGAATTCGTGACAGTCATTTCCACTAGATAAATCCTTTATATATATATATATATATAAACATCAAAACTTGAATTAATCATTCACTCCATATTTACTGTTATTTTCATAGCAATGGGATCCACAGATCACGTTTCGTTTAGTTTGCGTCTCATCATCTAGATGTAAAACAATAATAACCGTAATTTCAGGAAGTAATTGTGTGCAATCTTCGCGTCAGCATGTTTTACAGTTTTGTTTAAATTTTTCAACAAGATCCTATCTTTGTGTATAAGGCAGAAAAAGATTAGGAAGGATTTTATTTGAAGCTGCAATAAGGTGACCTATTTCGACACTACTGAAATCCTCAGACAATTCAATCTATTTATTTATGTCTTTCACAACTGAAGAAGAGTTGTTTGCTTCATCTAGTTTCTTAGACGGTGTGTAAAGGCCAGAACACATTTCAGAAGTAGACACTTATCATGAAAGTAGTATTTAGGAGTCAAGATATGATATATTTAAGTGCATCGAAAGCACTTTCTATCCTGGTATTATCACGACACAGTGTGGTTCAGCAATATGTGCATCATATCCTACCGCTTACGTCATTCTCTTTGTACAACTACTTCTTCAAGCACTCCTGTGAATGTTGTAAGGGAGTATCTGGACATCCTTCAGCCCACTAGACGAAAGGTGATCATAAGACGACTAAATCTTCTATTTGTGAATTTATCGAGTCACATTATTTAACTTTACATGATTTATCTTTTGGAGTTACCTAAATGTATTAAGTTCAGTCACCGTAAAAGTTTATATTCTCATCAAGTACAGAAGCTTTAGCCATACTTGAACAGCAACCCGGACTGTGTATTCAAAAACGCTTTGTACAACCAATTACTTTCTGGTTAATTTTATTGTAACCCATCATTATTATAATCACCACAGTAGCTCCAATTTTTCGACGACACTTCACCCAGCTTATATTTATTCATATTAAATCCTTTCTTTCATAACCTTTTCTTTATTTCATCTACACCATCCCAACTCTTCAACAAAAATGTTATTTCATCATCATCATACGTATAGCGGCTGAGCAATTTTTATTTCACCTGAATTCTTTCTCGGTGTAATACAAATACGACTTCATAGCTTCAAAACGAAGTCCTTGGAAGGCAGAGATCATTTTTGCTGTATGAGAATTTTTGTTTTTTCTATCAGTGATATCCATTAGATCACACAATATAGTTTGAATATTTTCGATTTACAATGAAAATCGCGGGAAAATTTCTGTGTATACTGTAAGGTTTGTAAACACATGTGGTTCATCATGATGCCTTGAATATTATAATTCAACATAGAGGAAATTTTCAGGTAATTAGATACAATGAACACAGACTGATTTGTCACAAGACAGTAATCGATATCCTTAATCTAGACCTTAGTGTTAGTACTGATTGAATTCTGTCCGTCAGGTTTGCAGTGTGGTTACTGAGCTAAGTGAATCAACATCGCAATGTGCTTTAGTCGGTGTTAATTGGTGTCACTAACCAATTACTGATATACTAATCATTGCTGTCCCTTAAATATTACCTGTTGTTTAAGCTCTATGAGACGGTTAAAGATTTCCAGAGACTTGTTTGTTAATATTTTAGTAGTTGGAAATAAAATTATGAGAATAGGATGCGCCTATAACTGATTCCTTTAAAATACATAATTCACGCTTGAGGAATTTTATCGTTATAGCTTCAGAAAGCCTACAAATGTCATGGCTGCTTTGTTTGCTGAGTATTTTGAACTACTCCAAATAATCATCTTGGTGTCTTGGTGTCCTTTAAGGGTATAAAGACTGATCTGTTTAAATGAAGGCTCTCCAATGTATATTCAGAGAATTTCAGTAAATCCTTATTTCTGTTCGTCAGATGCAACCGACATCGCATATAAAACGTAAATCGATTTAAACAATGGAGCGTGAACTGTTTCGGATAAGTTGAGTGTTAGCTATACCAATATCAAAACTCAGGGAAACTGTAGATACTGTTTACGGATAGTGAATAATTTCAAAGGATTTTAGTAAAATGAGCCTTCAGGCTTATGGTGTATAACCACAGGATACTAGGTTTCTTCTTGTGGGGTTGGAGTAATCTATATTTAATCAGTTAAACAAGCGTTTTCCGCACTTACTCCTATTATATGAGAAGAATTTCTCCACTTTTCATTTGCAGAACTTACTTAGCTATTCTTGGAAGAGATCGAAATCGGTAGATCCATTGACATCACATCAAATCCTTTGATCACTAGGACGTAACAGAATTTTACTAGATATCGTGATCAGTCAAGAGATTGATTTATAACAGCTGGCAGTCTGTCTTTTAAATAATCACCTCATCACTGAGATAAAGATTCTATTGCTCATGTAATATATAATTCATAAAACATTAGACTAAAGTACACTATTACAGGGGAAAGTATTTAAACCTGCTGACGAGACCAATGAACAAGAAATTCACTTCGAAAGCTTCCTATTGATTGCTTCATACCATTTAACAGTAACTGTTATGTTGATGCATTTCGAACAGGATTCAATGGATTTACCTCATAGTGTCTTTTACCCCGCTAACTCAGTTTGCTCTTTCAAGCAGATTATTTGAGGCTGACAAGCATCTTTAATTTCGACAAGATAAAAGCTAAAAGTTTTCAGGTGATCTCATTGTATTTATCACTGTAAGCCTATTTTCAAATGTTTAATTATATACAATGAAAAAACTCATGTTATTTTAATCTGACTTTTGTAGGCGCTTTTATACGAGGTTATCACGACTGTCGCATATGGTGGAAATATTCTAATCAATGTTGGGCCTACAGCTTGGGGCAAAATTTTACCAATTTATGAAGAACGCTTAATTCAGTTAGGCGAATGGTTGTCTGTTAATGGTGAGGCTATCTACGAAACTCAACCGTGGAGAATTCAAAGAGAAACTAAACCAGATTTTGTTTGGTAAGCAGGTGTGAATAGTATACTCAGTATTCTAAGATGGTGAAATGTATAATAAGGTGCTGATAAGTTAGTAATTAAATTTCAGTGTTCTAAATGAAGTACATAGAATTACTGAATGCGTAATATGACGACTTATCACACTTGAAATGAAAATTACATGAAATGACAATCGGTGGAACTTGTTGAACAGGGACACTTGGATTACAAAGTCCTCGTGAACAAAATATACCTCAGCAATCAATTACAGTTTAGTAAAATTAATTTCTTAAACTACCTATGATTTTTTGAAATTATTTCGCATTTATCCCCTGATTTGTTTCTCTGCATCGAAATTCAAGGTCTTCAGTAACATGTTAACTCTTAGTACTGACTCTTCGAAGGTACCTTCACGTAAAATTAATGTCCTTTGGTTGATCTTTACCAAACAATTACATATAGGAGATGTATTTCGTTCTGCCAATCACTGGAATATATGTACACCCAGCTAGTAAGTCTTGAACAGAATTCCACTGAATCCCATCGCTGGCTAGTGACGACCAAGCAATGCAATACATATCGCCTTACAAAAATTGGAAGTTATAACATTGATATATTTTTTGTTTTTGTTTAGGTACACCTATAAAGTGAAAGATACTATTGAAAGCGTGGATTTGTCAAGACAGATGACTATTTTGGATTTCATTAATAATTTACAATATTTCAAAGAAAATCCAGCAACAGTCTATGCTATTTTAACACAATGGCCAGAGAAAAAGTGTACAACAGTCAAGAATGTTGATGGATCAGAATCGATAAGCATCCAGTGTAAGCGTGAACTTATTCTACCCTCAGTATCTGTGAGACCGAGTCTTTCACAGTTCGCTTTACTCGATGGTAGTGCAACTGGTATGCCATTACCATTCACACCAATCAAAGAGTCGTCTTCAAGTGGTGTCAAGATTGACCTGCCTGATTTAAATATTGAGTCTAGTCAAAAACAGTTGAAATGGGCTTGGTCAATACGCATGACCAATGTATTTTAGATAAAATAGTAGATTAAGAAGGAGAAGAATATTAACTAAGTGTTTATTGTTTATTTATACAATGTTAACAATGACGGTGATGATGACAATGATTTTAAAAGAAGTAATTTTATGCACACAAAAAACTGATAAATAAAACAGAAACACCCTTTCTAACTATTGCATACTCTTTTATTATTTTATTACTCTTTTATTACACACATGTTCTTGTATAATTATTATGTACGCCCATTTTGCTTACTATTGATTTTCCTTAAAATATATAGAAACCGAAAATAGAGGTTATTTTATTGGCAAGCTCTGTCACTTGAGATCATTAGGAGATGAGTCACGCGTGACATCTCATCGCTTTCCACCTCGAGCAATGTCAGCTGAAATAGCATCGGGCTGGAAAATAGTTATAAACTGTCAAGCCAAAACATGGCATCAATTTTGTGAAGCAACTGATTATCGGTTTGAGCTACCTATACAGGTGTAGATTGTCTGTCTGGAAACCATGAGACGTTAAGATTCATTCATAGTGGTATGACTCAAAATCATTGTCAGTTTCACAAATGCATTCCCTCTTTGTTATCTTCCAATTTCATTCTATTCTCAGTATTTTTTATGTAATTATTCTTTATCCCATACATTTCCGTTCATTACAATTCCATTGAATCTGCTCTATGTACATTGATTTATATATACAATGTAGCAGGTTGAATTGCTTCACTGTGGTACAAGATTTACCTCTGAAAATTCACTTCGGTTGGAAAATTTGTGAGTGCTTGATTTGAACTTGGAGGTGGTCATAACTGGATATCCATGGAACAGTTATCTTTGCTTTCACAGCGTGTTTAAGAAAAATTTAAAACAAGATTTTCCTGAACGTTTCGGTGTGTAAGCCACAGCTTCTTCAGCACACTTATTCTCATTTTATTGACCCCTAAAAGTCAAAGAATTTCATAAACTGAAGTGCGTTCATTTGAAGGTCGCGTGTCAGTAGACATTTGTATAGTGTTATTAGAAGGCGGAGATTGTCTGAACAATCTGATCACGCTTTTACTTGTCAAGTCAATTTATGTTGAAAAATAGAGGGCAATTGAAGTACACAAAGTGACAAAATGGATTTAAGGATAATTAATACAACGTTTGGTTATCCAGTCAGATAAGGATTACCAATGTAGTTTAAGAGTAATAATCAATTATAATACTTTGATAAAGCTATCAGCACTAAATGGCGAAACGTCAATAAAAACAATATCGTCTTGTTTTTCATTCATTGGGAAATACAAAAACCTTTATTATAATATAATAATAAGTTGTTTTTGAACACACAAAGGGTTGGGGGCTAAGTTAATGGATAACTATAGTATTATCATATTTCAGCAAGCGCTCTTAACCATTTTTGTGGATAACTTTAAAAGTTTTGTTAACATCAATCTTTTGGATCATATCGATTAGATATTTGGTTATGTAGGAAGTTGGTGGTCTGTCACTTGAGTCTATCGATTTCGCAAAGTTCATCTGTCTTTCTAACCACTTCGGAATATCCTCTCTCACCCTCACATGCGCGATTACTCCCCCCCTATGTATGTGTGTCCACACACACACACACACTAAAATTGGTAAATAGTGTGGGGTGTGACATAATCACTTGTGCACTTTTGACGCTTAAAGTGGAGTATATTTTTGGCTTTTTTTAATGATTACAAGCCCGGCTGCACGAAACGTTTCACTTAGAAATGAAATAGAATTAAAAAGTCTAGAAAAAAGATCAGCTATAGCAATGCATGCTATAGACAGCGGACATAGGATCAATTTTGACACTTTCAAAATTCTTGGCAGTGGCTTTCATTTACATGAAGAAAGGCCAACCTCTGAAGCTTTGAATATTTTAACCACATCAAATGCAGTAAATAAGAGAGTAGGGATAGACTTATCACCTACACGGCGAACTCTAATGAAGGGTAACAGATGAGGAGAAAAATTCAGTCCTATATAAATTCGTTGAAAAGAGTCTCTTTGCTGAATCCCTTGTTTCGGTTTTCTATATTATGATCGCTATGAAATATTATCATATTTTGACGTGTTTTTCATGTAACAAACAACATACACAAAACTCACCATACAGACAAGTATGCATAGAGAACACGATATTCAGACTCTTTTCAACGAATTTATTATCAAGCTGTACAGTCGTATACATATGGTTTTTAAGAAATTATATCTGGTGAGGGAATTGGATTGAAGGTGTGAATACATGAAATAATAATAGTATGAAATACAGTTAAAGTGTTTGTGATTATAATCACAGTTAAAAGTCAATTAGCAAAACAATTAGTGGCATATGTAGAATAATTCATAAGATGTATAGATGTTGGAAAGAGGTGTAAAATTATAGGATTAGTAGGCTAATATAAAACGTTACATAACATGTGAGATTTAATAGGAGAAAATTCAATATTATGAAAAAAATTGAATTTAGAATAACAAGCTGGGCAAACAGAAACAATCCAAAATGAGAATAGTAAAAATAATCGTAATAAAAGGGGAAAGGTACACAGGTTAACTAAATAAACAAAATAAATAAATGTCTATCCCTTTAGGGCCAAGACAGAAGTAGGTGTTGTACATACTTCTTTTGGATATAAAGGTCTGGCTTAAATTAATGAATGGTCAAGGCCTCCACTGTATTTAGAAGTCTATAGCGAAGAAAACGTGGCAAGTTAGCATGGATTCAATAGATGATCTTAGAATCACCGTCAGGGTTCGTAGAGTGACAGGAGTCAATCAGGTGTTCTAGAACAGAGCTTCCTTTCTCCCTTGTAAAACCATGCTGGAAAGTGTCCTCGTATCTGTGTGGAATGCATTCTCTGGCTACGGCCTCCTCGCTCAACAAGAGCAGGTGAACTGAGATGCACATGGGGGAGGCCAGGTGGTGGAACCTATCTTTTACAGAGATGGAGAGCAACTTGCGCCTGGTGAAAGTCATTTGCAAATTTTGCTGCAAACAACGTCTTACTAACTGATTTAGACAGACGGCTTTTGAGCACATCTGAAGCTTGATCACATTTGAATTCCAAGATCATGAATAAGGTTTTCTTTGGAACTGAGTCGGTGACCAGTATATACTGCTTATCTTTTGAGTTTCTGTCAATAAATCAGTTTGGGTAACCTTTTTCTCAGAGCGTGGCTATTAGGAAGTCAAGTTCTGAGTCAACGCAATCAGAGCCAGAAATGTTTCTTATCCTAAATCAGAGCGAATGAATTAGGTTCCTTTTCCTGGAGATCAGCAACCAATTATAAAAATTAGTTAGAGTTGTGCGTTCCATGTACACATGCATATATGGCGATTTGAAATTAGTCGGTGGCACAGTGGTTAGGACTCTCGCCGACCATGCAAATGGTCCGGGGTTCGAGCCCCTGCCGACGCACACCTGACATCTATGGTCGGCCTGCAAAATTTGGGCTACCGATATCACATGTGGAAAATTCCATACCTGTACCAAAAATACGGTGTGGAATCAAGCTGAAATCAAAAAATCGAAAAAAAATCAAATATGTGATGACCATTAACATTTTTCTGTTGCTGCCAATGTCTAATAACAAGTTACCTTCAAAGGAACTCACTTCAGTTTATGTAATTTTTTGACTTTTAGTGGTTAGTAAAATGAGAATAAGTCTGTTAAAAAAACTGTGGCTTACACAGCGAAACGATCAGAAAAATCTTGTTTTAAATTTTTCTTAAACACGCTGGGATTATTTTAGATAATTTATAATGATTCAGTCTGAACTGTCACTCAAATTCTTCCAGGAAGTTCATAACATTTACGGTCTGGAAACCTAAAATCTTGGTTATGCTTATTTCTTTAAAGGTCAGCCTCTAAACTATGTAAAAGGTGTTAACTGGAGAGTAAATGAAGATGATTATAGTAGTAGAATTCACACTAACACCACACTGATTACTAGCATATTATTTCACCCGCTTACCTGGTTGTCATTGAACTGACATCATCTGTAATTGACGACTAATCAGTGTGAATTTAAAATGTAGAATTACTCATGTTAAAAGTTGTAAATAAGTTGCTTGTGACTGATTTTAAGTGAGTGGTATCTATGCAAAATGAAAACAGTTCTAAATATTTTCATCGGTAGATTGTTTTATTAGTGTTCCCTTCTCTGAAATGAATGATTTAAGTATGAAACTTGGATTGCCAATCTGGACGACATCATCGATGTGAACCATAGTAAGAAATGAAATTCACTAACCTCCTTCACTCTCTTCGAATACATACCTCTTTGTTCTAAATATGCTTTATTTATTCCTTCACGTTCCCAGTGGAACATTGGGCTTCAAGCTAGAGGCTTGAAGTTTCTGCACCAGTGTTTATTTTTACAGGCCGGGGTTGCTAGCCTCATGCCTAACCTTTCCTCTTTACCAGTATTATTTCTGGCTTAGCGATGTAAAGGAGTGCGCCGGCCGGGGATCGAACCCCGGCCCATGTGCATGGTCGGCGAGCGTCCTAACCACTGTGCCACCGACACACTAAGAAAAGTCGGCAACACCCGGTATTCCCAGCCGGTCACTCATGCAGGCACTAACCGGGCCCAACGTTGCTTAACTTCGGTGATCGGACGAGAACCGGTGCTTTCAACGTGGTATGGTCGCCTACTCTAAATATGCTTAGTCGTTTCATATTTTCTTTGTCGAATTCATAACTACAGAGTGGAAGGATGTTAAATTGCAGACTGCTGTTCATATAGACATGCGCGAAGGGAGAGATATTTTTCTGTCTACTATAGTTAATTATCTCAATCTATGCTTACACTCTGTAGATTCTGTTCGTGAACGTTAATAATACAACAAAACTTGTCACTTGTCACTCAGGTGAAGACATGACTCCCAGTTAACGGAAAAGGAATTGAAGGCAAGGAAACTTCCAGAGTTAATTTCAAAATAAATTTGTTTCACCAGTTACATCTGCTATTGTAGACTGAAAAACAGAAAATAATTCAATACAGACACAAACAGCTTGTATGATGTTCTCTGAAAATGTAATAACACTTGACAACTAAATTTGACTATAGACTGCGTAAGTTATTTATTTTCCTGCTTCTCTAATGAGCCGAAATAAGCAGTCAAAAGTATCCCAACAGTTTTAATATACACTGGTCAATTCTGAAGACAGAGTCAATTTTATGGATCGAAGCAAAGTAATGGAGTGGTAATAATGCCTGAAAGACAATTTTTCTACAAGTAGGAGGTTGACGTAACCTCGAATAACTAACTCATTGGTGAAATTTCTGCTTGCAGCACTGGGTGACACCATTCTGGATTTCCGAAGCTACATAGTTTCCACTGAGGTGGAAGACACACCTTGCTGAAAAGCGCCAAATTTCAGGGCTTCCTGCTAACTGCTTTCCCCAAATAGCTATTTATTTTCTGTTTTATAAGGATCTTAGTCACATCAATAGACAAGAAACATTTGTGAAGCTTAAGATAACAAGACTAATGGAAGTATAAACAAAATGACAGAAAACTCGTAATTTTGATATAATAACGTTATTTTTTGTGAGAGATGAACTAATGCAGAACTTTGAACGCTAAAGTGTTTCACATTTACGTAATACAAGAAAAATAGAGCAACAGAAATAGATGAATGCTGCAACCAATAAATATCGATACAAAAGAGAGGATAACTGAATGAACATTCTTGGTTAAAAGAGTGAATACACCAATACTATTGTGAAGTACATTACTCCATGTCATGAAGTGCTTCCGACTACGGAATCTTAGGTTCAACAGGATGCTATACAGAAAAAACCAGTAGTCAATGAATTCATGGATGAGTGCCAGGTTTTGTGGCCTAATGGTATACGAGCTCGCCTTGTAACCAGAGGGTCCTGGGTTCGAACCGTGGCGGTGGG